CAATACAATTGATAAACCTAACAAGACTGACAAAAATAAGAGAGAGAAGGTACAACTCAATAATATCATAATGAGGCACTACAGATCCTGCAGTCATTAAAAAGATAATAAGAGAATACCATGGACAACTTTATGTTCATAAATTTGACACCTTAGAAAAATAGAAAATCCTCAAAAACTACAAACTACCAAAACTCAATCAAAAACAAAATAGACACCTTGAACTTGTAAACATTTAAAAAATTGAATTGGTAATTAAAAAGATCTTTAAAAAGAATCTCCAGGCCTAGATTATTTCACTAGAGAAATCTATTATATATGTAGAGAAGAATTAACCAATTTTATATAACTTCTCCTAAAAAACAGAAAAGAGAACACCTCCTAACTCATTTTATAAGGTTGGTATTATCAGGCTAATAAAACTAGAATAAGAAAGAAATTTTAAAAACTATAGCCCAATGCCCCTTATGAACTTTGATATAAAAATTCTAAACAAAAGAAAGTCAAAATTAGGAATGCATAAAATCAATTATAAGAACTAAGATTTATTACAGGTAGGAAAGGCAGTTTCAACATTCAAAAATCTATTAATATAATCTACAGTATCAACAGCTAAAGAGGAAAATTCACATAATCAGATTAAGGGACAAAAAGTGTTTGACAAAATCTAGCATATGATCATTAAAAAAAAATCTTATAAAACCAGGAATATAAGGAAACTCCCCCAACTTTATAAACAGAGCATCTATAAGAAATCTAAAGCTAATATCATAGTCAATGATGATAGCCTGAATACTTCCCACATAAAATCAAGAACATAGTAAGGATATCCTCTCTCACCACTCCTATACACACAGCTTTGGAAGACCTAGCTAGCAACATAAGGCAAGGAAAAATAAAATAAAAAACATATATATTGGAAAGAAAGTAATAAAACTGTTCCTATATGCAAATAACATGACTGTCATGTTCCCAAAGAATCAACAGTAAAACTCCTAGAACTAATAAGTGAGTTCACTAAGGAGGGAGGAATCAAGATAAACAGACTAAATTCAATCATATTTCAGCAACAAACATGAAACAATAAATGTGAAAACAAAATTTAAAACAATGCCATTTATAATTGCCCCCCCAAAATTAACTACTCATATATAAATATGAGAAAAAATGTATGGGATCAGTATCCTGAAAATTAGAAAACAGCGTTGAAAGAAATCAAACAGCTAAATAAATGTCGAGACATACTATGCACATAGATTGGAAGACTCAATACAGTAAAGATGTCAATTCTTCCCAAAATTGATCTATATTTTTAATGTAATATCTATTAAAATGCCAGCAGAAGTTCTTGGGGTTTTTTGTTTTGTTTTGTTTGTTTTATAGACATTCTTATTTTAAAATTCTATGGGTAAATCTCATCACTTGTCTCTAAGAGACTCACCTCAGATCAAAAGATACACACAGACTAAAAGTAAAGGGATGGAAAAAAGATATTTCATGCAAATGGAAAGGGAAAAAAAGTCAAGGTAGCAATATTTAATATCCAACAAAATAGACTTTAAAACCAAGGCTATAATAAGAGACAAAGAAAGGCATTACATAATGATAAAGGGAACAAGCCAAGAAGAGGATAGAACCCCAGTAAACATTTATGTACCCAATATAGGAGCACCTAAATATGTAAAACAAATCATGATGGATATAAAGGGAGAGATCATCAGAAATTAAGTCATAGTAGGAGATTTTAACACCCCATTGACTTCAATGGATAGATCTTCCAGACAGAAAACCAACAAGGAGACAGCAGCCTTAAATAATACACTAGATCAAATAGAGTTAATTGGTATCTTCAGAGCATTTCACCCCCCAAAAGCAGAATATAAATACTTTTCAAGTGCACATGAAACGTTTTCTAGGACATACCGTGAGAGGACACAAAACAAGTCAATAAATTTAAGAAGACTGAAATCATGTCAAGCATCTTCTCTGGTCAAAATGCTATGAAACTAGAAATCAATCACAAAAGAACACTGAAAAAAATTGAGAGACATGGAAGCTATATAAAATGTTATTAAAACAATGAATAGATCAACAATGAGATCAAGGAAGAAATCAAAAGATACCTTGAAACAAATGAAAATGAGAACACAACAATCCAAAATCTGTGGGACACAGAGAAATCAGTCCTAAAAAGAAAATTCATAGCATTACAGGCCTATCTAAAAAAAAAAAAAAAACCATGAAAAAGCTCAAATAAACAATCTAACTTTTCAGTTAAAGGAAGGTGAAAAAAGAACAACAAATAAAGCCCAAAGTGAGTATGAGGAAGTAAATAATAAAGAGCAAAGCAGAAATAAATGACATAGAGTCTAAAAAACAATACAAAAGAGCAATGAATCCAAGAGCTGGTTCTTCGAAAAGATAAACAAGATTGACAAACTTGAACCAGACTCAAGAAAAAAAGAGAAAGGACTCAAAAAAATAAAATCAGAAATGAAGGAAGAGCAAAGATTGTAAGAAAATCTTATGAACAACTATATGCCAACAAATTGGACAACAGAAGAAAGTCTTTAGATATTAAGGCTATAAAAAGAGTTCTTAGACTTGATAATCAAAGCACAAAGCATAAAATGAAAAATTGATAAACTGGATCTAGTTAAAATTAAAACTTTTTGCTCTATGAAATACCCTTTAGAGGGGATAAAAAGGCAAGCTACCGATTAGAAAGAAGTATTTACAAATTATATATGTTTCCAGCAAAGTATTTGTATATAAAACATAAACAACTCTCAAAACTCAGCAATAAAGTCAAACGTTTCAAGAGGAAATGGGCAAAATGGATGAACAGACATTTTACTGAGGAAGATACTGATGGCAAATAGGCATTTGAAATATTGTCCAACACCACTGGACATTGTAGAAATGCCAATTAAAATCACAGTAAGATAACACTAAATATCTATCAGAATGGCTAAAATAAAAAACAATTACAACAAATGTTAGCAAAAATGCAGAGGACCTAGATTGCTCTTGCATTATCAGTGAAAATGCAAAGTGATTAGCCACTTTCAAAAATAGTTCAGCATTTTCTTAATGAAACTGAACATGCATTTCTGACACCATATCCCAAGGAAATGAAAATGTTATATTCACACAAAAACATGGGCACACACACGCGCGCGCACGCACACATATTCATACCAGTTTCATTTATAACAGTTAAAAGCTGGAAAAAATCAAAATAGCCTCCAACAGATGAATGGTTAAGTAAACTGTGGTACATTCTTACATGGAACCCTATTCAGCAATAAAAGAAGCAAACTATTGATACATGCAACAACTTTGAAAGATGTAAAAAGAATCATGCTGAGAGGGGAGGGAAGCAGAGTCAATCTCAAAAGGTTGCCAAATGTATGATTCCATTTATAGAGAATTCCCAAGATGACAGAATTATAGAGATGAAGAGCAGAGTAGTGGTTGCCAGGGATTAGGGAAGGGGACAGGAAGCAAAGCACTTATGTCTATAAAAGGACACGATGAGTGATCCTTACAACTGTTTCGTATCTTGATTACGTGATGGCACACAAACTTACACATGTGACAAAACTGCATAGAACTAATTATCTACACAAATAGGTTCATGTGAAATCTATACAAAGTTGATGAATTCCATCAAATGTCAATTTCCTGACTGTGATATTGCACTATACAGTTAATCAAAATACTGCCAGTTGTGGAAACTGGGTAATGAGACACGGGCTCTCTCTCTGTGTACACTAGTTCTTGCAGGTAAATTTACAGTTTCCTCAAAATAAAATAAAAAATTTTAAAATGTCCCTGAGTCTGATAAAAAATACATACATACTAAAATACATAATAAACAAAAATAAATAGGGCAGAAGGAACAGCTCATCTTTAAATAATTCCAATTAATAAATGCAAAATAAACAAGGGAAACATAAAGTAACCATTAGAATATCACAGTAATATAGTTGTCACAGACAAATTCCTTTGATGGATACAATGCTTACACTAATGGGAAAAATCCAGAAAAATGAAAACAGTGTATTTGAATAGACCCCATGAACCTTCTTAGGGATTCATAAATTATACAGAAAAATATAACTTCTCAGGGGATAAACCTAGTACTCTCTACATTAATCAAGTTATCATACTTAAAACAACCAGTAACAAAGTATCGACATCACACACCCCCAATATAACATATCATAATACAATATAATTATTACACACACCCTGAAAAACCCAAATGGAAAGAAATGCTGCAAAATTGCTACCAGTATTCTTCAAAAGTGTCAAAGTCATGGAAGGCAAGGAAAGGTTAAAGAACTGCCACACATGGGAGGAGACTAGGGAAGCACGTAAACTGAATACAAAATATGATACTGGAACAGAAGAAATACATTAGTGAAAAAATTGGTGAAATCTGAATACTCTGTAGTTAATTAGTACTATTGTACCAATATTAATTTTTGACAATTGCATTATGGTTATTCAGGGTGATAAATTTTAGAGAAAGTTAAGAAAGATATGAGAACACTCCACACCATTTTTTAAGATCTTTATTGAGATATGTTTACATATAATAAAGTTCAACCATTAGAGGGTACAATTCAATGGCTTTTAGTATATTTAGAGGCCTGCAAACACCACCATCATATAATTTTAGAACGTTTTCGTCCCCCCCGTAATGGCTAAAAGAAATCCTACACTCACTAGCAGTCACTACCCGTTCCTCATTCCCCCATTATTTTTGCAATTTTTCTACAAGCCTAAAATTATTTTAAAATAATACAAAGAAGTAATAATTATAAGTTATAATTATTATAAGATAATTATAAGAAGTTATAATTATTATAAGAAGTCTTGACATACTATATGACATATAATCTATAGAGGAAAATGAAATCCATGTGCTTTCAAGTTCTTGAATTTTTTCTCTTACAACATAATGCATTTCATTTAAGATTCTGTCTCACCTGGCTAGTTCTTTAATTAAATTTGCAATGCGTCTTTTGTCTTCAAGACATAAATCCTTCAATGATGCACTCTTTATTCCTCCCTTGCAGAAATTCTAAAACAGAAAAAATAACTTTTGGTTAACTTTTGCTAAAAATAGTTTTTAAGACTCTTCAAGAAAGTTCTTAAAATAAGTGCGGAAGGTAAAATTTCTTAAATATCTTTTATCTTGTGGAAACATGACTAGCCTGTTACATTTAAAGCTCATTCTGAACTCAAAACAGGGTAAAGAACTGTCTGCCCACCAAGGAACATCATGAAATTTCCACAGAAAAGCAGACAGATAGAACTCAAAGGCAGAAATGACCATGCTTAAATACTGGGGGTTAGTTTAAAAAAAAAAAAAAAAAAAAAAAAAAGGCTTTACCTTGGTGAATGTCACAGAAACAAACACCTAATGAAAGATAGTAAGAACCTTTCTTATACCATAGCTCTGCTTAAAAGTATAGTAAAGTTGGCAGCAGGTGCACCTGTTCTAACCTCTCCATAACATGAGGGTCATTACAAAAGGTAATAGACCAAAGAGTAGTAATAATAGTGAACGCATATCCAGGGTCTACTGCATACCAGGAATATTCTAAGCTCTTTACACTTACTAATCCATCTCATTTTCTCAACAATGCTATTACGTAGGTATTATTCCTATTTTAAAGTGAGGATACATATCTTGTCTGGGGCCAAAGTTAGGTAGCAGGATCAAGACTGGGTTGCAGAGTCTGTGCTTTAACTACTTTACATTCTGTCTCCTGACCTTGAGGACTTACACTATTAAATGCTCTTTAAATTACGGGTGAAGTGAGAAAATATCCTTCGAAAATTGGCTGTGATAAATTAAAAATGTATACTGTAATCCCCAAAGTCAGTGAAGTAGCCCAACAAAATCTTATAGCTAATAAGCCAATAGAACAATTTAAAAAGTATGGACTTTCCAAAAGATTACAGTTGACTGTAAAACAAACAATTTTATTAAAAAGACTTCTGCTCAGTTGCCCTGGTATGTCAAGGTTGTAGGTTCGGTCCCCAGTCAGGGCACATGCAAAAAGCAACCAATAAATGCATCAGTAAATGGAAGAACAAATAGATGTCTCTCTCTCTCTCTCTCCCTCCCTCCCTCCCTCCCTCCCCCCTTTCCCCTCTCTCTGAAAATCAATAAATAAAAATTTAAAAAAAATTAAAAACATCAATTTTTTATTAGAACTTGCAAATTCACCTATTCACATCCCAGTGTGAGGTGAGTACTTTGGGGATACATGAAACACAAGAAAACCTACAGTTAAATCCTGCAGACTACTCAATGTAATAGTAACAAACTAGATATTGGAAATGTCCTCAAGAACATAAATCAAGGATTGAAAACTTTTTCTATAAAGGGTTCATCAGTAAATGTTTTCGGTTTTGTGGCCATGCAGTCTCTGTAGCAAATCTGCAACTGAACACAAAAGAGCCATAAACATTAAAAGAGTAAGTGTGGTTATGTTCCAATATAACTTTATTTATAAAAAGTGGCAAGCGTATATGGCCTGCAGGTCACAGATTGCCAAATCATGACTTAAACTTTTCTTGGGAAGACAAAACATAACAAAAAGTAAAATAAACCACTCAGGACACGTGTCAAAAGAATGTATAGGTACTATTACTGAGACAAAGATGAAGGAGAGATCAATGACTGGGCTATAAAAAGGAAAAGTCTCTAGGATATTATTTTCCAAGTGAAGGAAATAATAATAATAATAATAATAATAATAATAATAATGATGCAGACTAATTTTCTTTTAATAAAAACATCTTTATTTTTTTATGTTTTTTTTTTAAATTATTTTTAGAGAGAGGGGAAGGGAAGGAAACAGAGGGGAATAACATCAATGTGTGGTTTCCTCTCGGGCGCCCCCTACTGGAACCTGTCCTGCAACCCAGGCATGTGCCCCACTGGGAATCAAACCTGCGACCCTTCGGTTTGCAGGCCGGCACTCAATCCACTGAGCCACACCAACCAGGGCTGAAAACATTTTTCTCATATTTAAGGGTTTATTCATCATCAATCAACAAGTTCAAATGAACAAAAATCACAAAGGACACCTAATATAAAAAAAAAATTGTGAATTTGATTTACTAACTCCACAAAGATCAGAACGTAGGTCTTTTTTTAAAGATTTTATTTATTTTTAGAGAGAGGGGAAGGGAGGAAGAAAGGGAGAGAAACATCAATGTGAGATGAGAGAGAAATACCGATCTGCTGCCTCTTGTAGGAGCCCCGCCCTGACCAGGGACTGACCCTGCAACCCAGGCACGTGCCCTGACCAGGGACCTTTCATTTTGCGGTACAACACCCAACCAACTGGGCTACAATGGTGAGAGTCAGAATGTGGGTCTTTGAGACATATCAAGATAATACATTTTCTTAACCGAGGCTTAAAACGAGCCCAAATATTTTGGGGCTAAATATTTTATATTCATATCAAACATCATCAAAGCATCCTAGAATCCTCTGTATCTGTATCTTCTCAGAATGCTATGGATCATCTAATTGTCTTTCAATGAATGACTCTTCTACCCATATATGCAATATTGGTTACTGTTAAATGGACCCTTCGAAAAGAGACATCCTACTAAGTAAGGATCATAGTGACTTAACTGAGCTTAAATTAAAGAGCAAAAACACAACACAAAAAAACAAACAACAACAAGAAAAACAGAGCCTAGCAATAGTTTCTAAATAGCGGCCCCTCACACAAACCACACTTCAGAGAGAAGTCTACATTAAGCTGCCTATTCCTGCACTGAACTGCTTCTCTGCACTGTGTTTCTGCCATCTGAGCCACCCCTTGTATAAAGAGGAGTTCCTGGAATTCTGTTTCAACCAACAGGGCTGAGCTTTCACCAGCAACATCTTTACCAACCAATCAGAGCAACTCCATTCTGATCAATCAAGACACTGCTTTTTGGACCCATTAAACTGTGAGGATTTGGAGTCCTCCTTTGCATGAGGACCAACCAATCAGCGACCTTGGGCGGGGACTTCTGTTTTTTTAAGTCAGCTCCCTTTTGATTCTAGGAACACTTTCCTTTTTCATGGTAGAGTAAGACTGCATTTCACCAGCAGGAAGTGAAACCATGAAGATGTCTGACCAGAGCAGAGGAATAAGAGTGGAGATGACTGGCACAAAGCAAAACAGACCTCAACAGGTGGCAAATACCAGGGCTGAGCTGCCTAGCCTAAGAGGGCTTCACCTTGGGGCCACCTTGCTCAAGGCCTCTTCACAGCTATGCTGCTTCTAATTGAGCTGTTCCATCACTGAGCTGTTCCAAAGCCATGCTGTATCACAATTGGGCCGTTTCGCACTGAATAAAATTTCCTTTTTTACCACACCCCAAATCAGGGATACCTGTTCTCACTGAATTGCCACCAATGGCCATCAGTCAGTCAGCAAAGAAAAATCAGTTACTGGTCAGCATTCATAAAAAATTAGAGAATAAGAAAAAAACAAGTAAGAAATTACTGACCTGTTCATTTACGGCATCTCCTGCACCTTTTAAAGATTCCATAGAGATTGAATCAGGAATCACCCTGGAAGTCTTGGGTTTAACATTAGCTTTCGGACTCATCAACTTGTGTCTTGATCTGATATTTCCTTCTGTAGAAATTCCTAAGGGTTTGCATCAAATTAGATTTCAAAATTCTATCTCATTCTCTTAAGCCCTCCCTCCATCAACCTCTCTGTTGGTATCCTCTACTTTATAGAACATGATAGGGAAAACTCTTACTTCATTTTAAAGCTCTCATAATAAATAATGAATCAGGAAAAGATTGTTTTGAATATATTAAAGATTCAACTGAAATATTTTTAAAAGGCGTGGGCACATTCATAATTCATATTAAAAACAGTAAGTTACAACATGCCACGCATCCCCTAACTTAGGGGAAATTAAAGATATCATATTTTACATAATTGAGGTACTTTCAAGAGTTCAGTGAACTTTAAAGAGTCTACTGCATAAACTCTATATCAAGAAGTTTTCACACTTTCCTTCGAAATATTAAATTCAGGCTATTATTTATAATATAAAAAATAAGAAAATCTCTTACTCCTTAATACATAAAGTATAAGGCAGTATTTCAAACCTTAATAGGGTGATACTATTTTTTTTTAATTTTAAGATCTAATGAACTGTTACACAGCCAGTTATATCTGTACAGTTGTCCTAATGTTTTATCTTTCTCCTAAGCAGAGGAAGCTTACCAGATTAACAGAGAAAATCATACCTGGAACATACACTACTGATTGTTCTTCATCAGAAACTATGCAGAAAGACATGAAGGAAAATACTAGTAAAGGTTATCCAATATCCAAATGCTGCTTCTTTTCTGTACTTCTGTTACAATTCATAACTTCTATTGACCTTGGAATATACAACTAGCTTTTAAAAACAAAATTAGAAAGCAAAGTAACTGACTTAAATGCAGCAAAGTTAATATTCTTTTAAAGTTCATTTTTATATAGTCACAACTATATATTTTGTAAAAACTTTGGAAGGTGTCATTCCATAAAACTTTTATCCATGTTTATTCTCAAGTGAGATATCCTACACTATAAATTCTGTTAGGTTCCCTTCATTTCCTTTCCTTCTGTAAACCAAGAGTTCAGTGCTCCAATTTGCTCATTACTGGAAAACCGACAAGTTATTTTAGGCATGAATATAAATAATTCCAAAATGAGCTTTATCTTTGAAAAACAAACACTGTTGAGGGCAAGTCAATCATGTAGGCACAAAGGCTTTTCTTTTTATTCTTTGTGGGGCCTACTGAAATGTCCTAAGAAGCCCACTACTTAACAAATGGAAAAAATTTAAGATGAAAAGAACTACGGCATTCTGAATTTCAAAAGGAGAAATTTAGAAAGGCTATTAAGGTCATAACACTGCTTTAGAAAGAAAACTAATACATAAGAAAGCATCCTTTCCAGAAACAGAATTTTATTCAGAAACATATCTAAACCCAGACAAGTCCACAGTTTGATAACACTTGCAAGAAGGGAGCATCTGAACAATTTATTCCAATGATCTAGAACATTCCAAAGTTATCTGTTTTTTGATCAAATGTTTTCTTTTCCAAAATTTCTAAACAAATCAATTTGGAACTACTTCCCTCCAGAGAAGGGATGGAGTAAAAAAATGTGATTTAATAACATGCTCGAAAAGTCCATATATTTCAGCTCATGATCAACCTCAGTAATGGAGTCTCTTCAGGAAATGCTGATTAGATAAGCATAGAATTCCTATAGGAATTTAGGAATACAAAGATTATGCATACTATTTGAGCTGCCAGGTGGTTTCTAATAGCTTTCTAGAGCAGCATATACACTATCACAGCTTCAAGCTTTTAGCTGGTAACTAGTACCCCTAACTTTAAACTCCCTCAAATATCAGAAATGGAGCTGATAGTTTAAGGGGCACATAAGACAAGCATACAAAAAAAATTAGACTTCACTACTCCAAGGAAACTTAGAGCAACAACACAGGAGTAGACACTTTCTTAATTCATTGACATTCAAGCTATTAAAACAAAACAAAACAAACCTTACAAAATGAAATTGTGCAGCCTCCATTTAATAGCAAAAACTTATTTTTTTTAAGTATCTTATTTATTTATTTTTAGACACAAGGGAAGGGAGAGAGAAAGACAGGGAGAGAAACATCAATGTGTGGTTGCCTCTCGCATGCCCCTTACTGGGGACCTGGCCTGCAACCCACGCATGTGCCCTGGCTGGGAATCGAACCTGTGACCCTTTGGTTCACAGGCTGGCACTCAATCCACAGAGCTACAACAGCCAGGGAACTTATTTTCTTATATTTCTTGGGACTAGCACACACAGTAGGTGCTCAATACATGTTTAATTATTTGTTGTTGGAAATATACATAGGAATGAAGGACACAGGGAAAAAAATCCAAGATGATTCAGGATATGCTCTATATGGCACGGTCTTTGATTAGAAGATAACAGTAATGATGAATCTGTAGACTATTCTACAAGGATGACCTATGGACTAACATAACAGAGTCCTGGAAAAGATACTACACTTCCTTAGACCATTCACGTAGAAGCCTGCTCACAACTAGAAAAACCAGCTACTGGGTACCCTATTCAGTCATACCTTGATTTGAAAGCTCACCAAACATTATAGTTTCTCCTCTTTTCTCAAACTTGACACCACTTCCTCATTGTTATTGTTATCTAAGAACTTTGTTTCCTATCTCCTAAAACAAAAAACTAACAAACAAAAAAAAACCTGTAGAGACCTTTCACAAGCTTCCATTTATAGGTGGCATATTATAATACACAACCCTAAAGATACCACCTTAGAAGCTGTTAAAACTAATAAAATTAGTAAAGTTGTAGTATATAAAATCAATATACAAAAAGCTGTTATAATTCTATATACTAATAATGAAATACCACAGGAATTAAGAAAACAATCCCGATTAGAAGGAAGATGGCAGAGGAGTGAATGGGAGTCACGCTGACCTCCTCCTCCCAAGACCAAACTGGAATTGCGACTAAATAGTGGAGTAATCACCTGGAAAACAATGGAACGATAGTGGGAGAGGAGCCTTGGAGCCGCGGACAGACAGCGGATTCAACTCTCACAAACCCCAATGGGTGAGAAGTGTGGTGGAGGCTCGAGAGGGTTGGCTGGGTGCCCACGGGCACTAGCACCAGAGGGACATTGAGACGGCCAGTAAGCTCCCCTCAAGAAGAACGGGGTCTGAGTTATAAACAGGGACCTCTAAACTACAGCAGCTAAAACCAGGAAAATACAGACAAAACGCAACCCTGAAAAGCTTAGGGGCACTCTCTGCCAGAGAAAGGTGGCTGGAGATGCAAAGAGACATTTAAAGGGCCAACACAAAAATTGCAGGGGCAGCCACCCTCCTCGATCTCTGGGTAGAGGCGGCAGCAGAGTGGGCTGGTGCCTGGGAAAAGATTGGTGAGGAAAACTTTGTGAAGAGAAATGAGATGGTGGCCGGTGGAGCCCCGGTGATAACGCACCTCCCACTCTGCAGCTACCATCTCGCTCAGGCATAAGGGAATCAATTAACCTGCCGCTTGTGTGCATGTGAGCTGGGGCACTAGGTGCAGATTGGCTGGAAGAAATAGAGGATCCCTGGCCAAAGGGGTCACACAGCTGCATTGAGAGCCTTGAGGAGAGACTAGAGACTGGAGACGGAGGTGTCGGGGAAAGAACGAGAGGAGGAACCGGGAAGTCCTGACTCCCTCCCTGTTCTGTACTCTCCATTTTGGGCAGGCAAGGCACGCCCCCAAAGAGGCAGAAGCAGGGCGCGCACGAACCGGACTGCCCGTGATTGCAACACAGTCCGCAGAAATAGTGGACCCTTGGCTGAAGGAGTCACAGAACTGCACAGAGACCCCTGAGGAAAGACTGGAGACAGAGGTATTGGGGAAAGAACAGGAGGAGGGACCAGGCAGTCCTGACTCCTTCTCCTTTCCGTAGTCTCCATTGTGTGGGAAGAGGCCACACCCCCAAAGAGCCAAAAGCTGAAAAGCACACAATAGACAGCCCAAAACCAGTGCAGATGCGCACACTTGCGCCCAGTGGCCAGCGAGGGTTGGCGAGCGTGTGTGTGGACCCGCGAGGGCTGCTGAGAGCTCACGTGGGTGGGCAAGGCCTCCCACAAGTTGGCAACGATGGGGCCTATGAGGGAGTGCGCAGATCTGCTAGGGCAGGTGTAAATCGACCCGTGCGGGCCCGCAAGTGCAGAGCGGTCTGCAGAAATAGTGGATCCCGGGCCAAAGGGGTCACAGAGCTGCCCAGAGTCCCTGGAGGAGAGACCGGAGACAGGATTAACTGGAGAGTCCTGGAGCTGACTTCCTCCCATTTCCGTAGTCTCCATTTGGTGAGGGCAGGCAACGCATCCAAAGAGCCAAAAGCGGGGAAAGTACACAATAGAAGACCCTAAACTGACCAGTGCTGGGGTGCCCGCCGGCCTGGGGGGCCAGACGAGTACGCGAGGTCGCGAAGAAGCCCCCTGGGCTGGGGCAAACATGCTCGAGCCCAGGCAAGTGGGGGATCCTGCCGGACTAGGGAGCACGCTCAAGGAGCCAGCGTGAGAGTTCAGAGGGATCCACAGAAATAGTCCATCCCTGGCCGAAGGGGTCACAGAGCTGCCCAAAGCAGGAGTCAGACACAGACAGTAGAGTCCTAGAAGGCTCAACCCAAGGTCATATAGGGTCAACAACTGACATCATCAGAGGCAGGCCCAGAAAGAAAAGTAAAGGAAATAAATTAATTAATTAATTAATTAAATAAAATAAAAGACCTGCCTCCTACCATAGACGTTTAATCCACAAAATCAGGAAATCTAGACGGCGCAATTGAAGCAGAAGCAAAAATAAATAAATAAATAAATAAATAACTTAACAGACTCTCACAAAAAAGGGAAGAAAAAGAAGTTCCCCCCAAATGAGTGGAAAAGGGGACTCCCCACAGAGAGAGCTAAAAGGAATAGAGGCAAGGGAACTATTAGATATTGAATTCAAAACAATGGTTCTAAGGAAGCTCAATGAGCTCAGCCAGCTCAAAGAGAACTATGAGAAACTGCAGAGAAACTATCAGGATCTTACGGCAAACTATATCAGCCTGGAAAAGGACATAGAAACTATCAAGAAGACACAAGAGGATATGAAGAATACCATTTCTGAATTGAAGAACACAGTAGAAGGAATCCAAAGCAGGCTGGATGAAGCCGAGGATCGAATCAGTGAGATGGAGGATAAGGTAGAAAAAAGCTCCCAGAAAGAAAAAGAAATGGAAAAAAGACTCAAAAAGAATGAAGAGGCATTTAGGGAAATGCAGGACAACCTGAAACGCAATAATATCTGTATAATAGGGATACCAGAAGGAGAAGAAGAGGAGCAAGGGATAGAGAACCTCCTCGAAAAAGTAATGATGGGAAATTTCCCCAATTTGAGGAGAGATAGGGTCTCATGGATCCGGGAGGCACAGAGCACCCCATTCAAGAGGGACCCAAGGAGGTCCACTCCAAGACACATCATCATTAAAATGGCAACTATCAAAGACAAAGAGAGAATCCTCAAAGTAGCAAGGGAGAAGGAGAAAGTAACACACAAGGGGGCCTGACATGACTAGGAGCTGACTTCTCAACAGAAACACTACAAGCCAGAAGGGAATGGCAACAAATATTCCAAGTCATGAAAAGCAAGGGCCTACAACCAAGGCTCCTCTACCCAGCAAGTCTCTCAATTAAAATAGAAGGGGAAA